ATATGCCTGGTGTGCTGTGTCCTCTGTGGGCCTCCGGCTAGGGCAGCCCTGGGATCAGCGGCATGCTGGGAACAGGAGCTTCAGATGTAGGCCCCGAGGGAGCTGCTTTGGCCCCTCTACCTGCGACAGTCAGCCTTTTCCTTATTCCGTCCCATCTTTGCATTCCCTTTTTACAGCAGAATTATTTCCTGATATTTTGTTTGTTTTCGCTTTCTTTTTTTGTGTGTGTGTATTTTTGTTTTGTTTTGTTTTCACTTGTTTTTTCTTTCTAAATTACAGTTTATATAACCCAGGTCAGTTAGAGCATGTCTCCCAGTGGCTAGAGACTAATGAAGAAGTGTTTGCCCGTAGAATCCAGCCTTTGATCTGGAATTTGCCCGCAAAAGCCCTACTCCCTCACCCAGCAGAGGTGTTTAAGGGGCTAATTATAACAATAAACTGACATGCATGGAGCGACTGCCCTGTGCCAGGCCCCATTCTGAGCATTTGATAATGGCTCCTTTCGTTCCCACAGCAAACCTGCAAGCTGGGTACCTTAGTGTCTTCATTTTGCAAATATATAGGGAAAATGACGCCCAAAGCAGTCACATGATTCACTCTGGTCTCATACTGTCGTTGGTCGCACCAGCATTCAGACCCATACTGGTCAGCTTCAGGGCCTTGCCTCTGTGGGTCAGCCATCTGCTGGGGAATGGATGTGTGGGACTCAGAATCGGCAGAAGGGAGACAAACGCAGGCACAAAAACAGAGTCTAGGTGGGGTGGCAAGGTGGGGACAGGGTGCTGCTGAGCACAGACTTAAGAGCTGTTGAGGATACCAGGACCAAGCTCAGCGAGCAAGAAGGTTGGCATCCTGGGTGAAGAGGGGGCACAAGAACAGGCGTGCAGTAGACAGGTGAGTCGGTAGTGTGGCTGTCGGGGAGGGCTGCGTGCTGAAGCCTGAGCCACTTCATTGCCACACACGCAGTGACCTGAGAACAATCACCTCCTGGGAGAGGTTGCCTCCGAACCACGCCCGGCAGCCAGCCAGTGAAACCGTGGGAGAAGGGATGCCAGAGATGTGTGGAGGCCACCCTGGAGGGAGCTGGGCAGGTGCTGGACAGAGCAGGAACGGTTAGCAGGGAGAGAGCAGCAGCAAAACTTTGGGATGGCTTGATGACCTCTTCCTCCTAAGTCCGGTAGAAAATGAAAGTGTGAAACTTCTGCTTCCCTGTTAACTCCTGCAAAATAACTTCCCAAACCCACTGTACCAAGGAGGGCTACGTGCCTTAGACTTCATTCCTACGTACTCTGGGCCACCAGCAAGTTTTTCGTTGGTGTCTCGTTAGCGAAGCGTTTGAGAAAAAAACCTAGAGAGCTAGAATCTTGACCAAGGACAGAGGTACAGCAGGAATGTGTGTGTACAGGGAAAGACAAGTGTGTGGAAAAGCCCGAGGGTTGCCCAAAGAGGTCAGAGCAGAAAAGAGCACTGGTGAGTACCTTTTTTTGTTTTCAAGTGGGTCTCCTTAGATTTTGAGGTCCTGTGTGTCTGCCTTGGAGATTCTGTATGCCAGGAGTGGATATGACCGGTGGTTGAAAGCACTGCTATTGCCTGACTTGATTCAGTGGAAGTCAAGTGGAAAAGTGCAAGAACCAGACTCAAGGTCGACCTTACGAAGGATGGGCTGATCTCCCTCGGGCTTCCCAAAGTTGATTAAAGAACAGTTTCAACAGGACTGTTAACCTGTGTAGGACCACAGGCTTGTGGCATGGTGGTTAAGCAACCTGTTAGGATGTCTGCATTCCATCCTGTGGTGTCTGGGTTGTGGTCCTTGGCTCCAATACCCAGTTCTAATTTCCTGGGAGGCAGTTGGTGATGGCTCAGGCAGTTGGGTTCTCGCTATTCTGGTGGGAAGCCTAGACTGAGTTTCCAGCTCCTGGCTTCAGCCTGGTCTGATACTAGCTGAACCAGTTGATAGGATAGAAGGCAATAGGGTCCTGAGACCCAGAGAGGCCCCAGCTTAAGCCTTGTTCAAGGAGCAACAAGTACCGAGGATGGAGCTGGCTAAGGTTGCGAAAATCCTCGCACTTCCTGAAAATCTTCAGCACACTGGGGACATTAGGGAGCCCGAGCCTCCCAAATGTCCCTGCATGCCCTGAACCTAACCTGATTTTATAAGAAATGGCGCAGGTACAGCATCGAAATGGGATTGTTTCCAGTTCTTTCCATCTTAGTGCAAAGAAAGGAGCAGTGACCAAACTGCCAGCTTCCTACCCCAGGAGCTCACTGACTCCCTCAGCAGCTTTGTATAGTACTGATCAAAAGGTAGAAATTACAGATAGTGGGGACGGCGTTGTCACGTGACACATTGCCATCATCCCATACGGGTGATTGCCAGCTGCTCTACTTACAATCCAGCCCCCTGATCATAAGCTAGGAAAAGCAATAGAGGCTGGCCCAAGTGTATATGCCCCTGCACCCATGTGGGAGACCCAGATGAAGCTCCTTGCCCCTGGCTTGGACCTGGTTCATCCTTGGCCACTGGCACCATCTGGGGAGTGGACCAGCAGATGAAATATCTATCTCTCTCCCTCCCCCCTAGAACTCTTTCAACTAAATAAATCAATCCTTTAAGAAATTACAAATAGTGGGCCCAACATAGTAGCCTAGTGACTAAAGTCCTCGCCTTGCATGTTCCAGGATCCCATATGAGCACCGGTTTAAATCTTGGCAGCCCCACTTCTCATCCAGCTCCCTGCTTGTGACCTGGGAAGGCAGTGGAGGACAGCCCAAAACCTTGGGACCCTGCACCTGTGTGGGAGACCTGGGGGAAGCTCCTGGCTCCTGGCTTTGGACTAGCTCAGATGTGGCCATTACGGCTACTTGGGGAGTGAACTAGTGTATGGAAAATCTTTCTCTTTGTCTCTCCTTCTCTCTGTAAATCTGAAATTCCAATGAAAATAAATAAATTTTTTTTAAAGAAATTACAGTTCATTTACTGTTTCTAGATTTATGTCTTTTTTTTTTTTTAGTATTTGAGTATACTCAAATATACTCAGTAGTATTTTATATTGAGTATTTATTTTTTAGTATCTGTGTTAATTGGTTGGTTATGAGAGATTTGTGTGATCCAGGGATCTGAGAAGGTGCTGTGTGCAGGCAGCTCGGCCTGTGCAGGACCTGAACAAGCTTCTTGTTTACTTGCAGAAAAATGTGTTATCAGCCAGGGAGACGTTAATGTTTTCCTTCCCCTGGCTAAACTATTGGAGCATGGCATAAAAATCAAAACCCTCAAGGTGGCTGTAACTAAACTATTGAAGTGTGGCATTAAAAGCAAAACCCCAAGGTAACCGTGAAGCCGTCTAACCAACCACTTATATTCAGTGCCAGTTTATGGGCAGGCATTTCTCTCCCCTAAATGTGGCATGCTTCCTCCATCATCCAAAGCTTTTTCGAGATTGCCTTCAGCATGGCACAGGCGGGAACGGGCCCACTTGGGTTCAATTCCGTGGCAGAAGCCCCATGAGTGGTCAGGGTTTTCTTAGCTCAGAAACAGAAACACCTGCTTGAAGTGGTGTTCTTGAAGTGGCCGGCACTGAGCATCCTGGGAGAGGAGGACTGGCCCTCCGCAAACAGGACCAGTAGCCTCTTGCCATTGTGGAAGGTCCTTTGCCTGAATCCTGTGGCATGGCTTGGCATGTGGGCCTTGAGGTGTTGTCATGTGCACCCTGGGGGTCACCAGGAAGACAGAAACAGCCAGCCATCTTAGCTCCTCTGCAGAGAGCAAAGATCTGAAATTCAGGCATCCAGAACTCAAGCTACAGACCATCCTTGTCCATGGAATGTCTGGAAAAACAGCTGTCCTGTCCTTTTCAGAATTTCCATACCAAATACATTTGGGTATTACTGCTGGCAGGAGAGTGTCCTAAAACTTTTAGCAAAGGTCTTAAAATCCTCTTGGGAGGAAAGGTGCTACACAAATCACTCCTAAGTGCACAAAAAGAGGAATTGTGCCAGAATTGCTTTCTGGGGGAGATAAACTCCTTAACAGTCCTAGTGTGGGCTTAAATCATTTCCTGCACAGACAGTTATGCCATTAACCCTCCGTGTGGCCCCTTTTGCCCACGGCCTCAGCTCAGAGCAAGGCCGACCCACCCTGACGTGGTATGTGGTGGGACAGCCCCAGCTGCATTCCCAGGCAAGATGCTCCTGCCCCTCCAAGTTGCCAGCCTCTTCCCCTCGAGGTGTGTTTTTCATCTCTACTGAAGTTTGCCTCTTGTTTCTGACTTGTGGAAGCTTGTCTTGCACTCTGGGTAAACAAAAAGGATCTGTCACCCCACCCTGTGTTTTGAGTCCTGGGCAGGCCAAAGCACAGGATTGCAAAAATGGGCTTGGCCCCAGGCCAGCCCTGCTGGAGCCAGGGCACAAGTTCCCAGCCCTCACCTCCGCCTTGTGTTACGTGTCAGGGAAGCCTCAGCCCTGAGCTCAGTGCGTGTTAGCCCTGTCATCTTCAAGCCCAACAGCCAAGTTGAAGAAGAGGGTTCCCTTCTGCCCTTTCATATCCATGTTTCTTAACCCAGGAAGTCAGGTTCCAGAGTGAGCAGGGAGCAGCCGATAACTTGGGCTAGCCAATAACTTGGTTTTGGAGTGACTTTCGGTACCTGCAGGTGGAGAGATGCATCCCAGAGAGCATCGGAGTTGACCCGTGCCTGTCAAGACATTTGCTTTGAAGTGTTGCTTGGGACAAGATAGATTCCACTCACAGGGCTCAGGAGCACAGAGGGTTGCCGTTGGCGAGAAGGGCTCAGTTAATGAGCAAGCCGCCCTGGCAACTGAGATCAGGACTTTGTCCAGCTGGCGGAGTCTGGCTGCATGGGCTGCCCCTCTTGTCCCGAGCAAATGCCCCCACCCTTGGAGTCTGGTCTCTGGGCTCCAGAGGCTCGGCCCCACTTTCGCATTGCTTAGCAACCTCCCGCCCCCCTCCATGGGTGGCTACACATGTGATCTGTCTCTCTCCACAGCATCCCAGTGCAACGTCAGCTTGAAGAAGCAGAGGAGCCGAAGCATCCTTAGCTCCTTCTTCTGCTGCTTCCGGGACTACCATGTGGAGGCTCCTGCGTCCAGCAACCCCAGTGTGCTTCCCCCTCTGGTGGAGGAGAATGGTGGGCTTCAGAAGGTCAGTGCTGGTGGGGAACCATGCACTCAGCACATTGTACGGGCACCTCTGTCCCATCCCTGACCAGTGTCTTGACTAGGAAGATGGGACGGAATGGGGGCAGCCATTGACATAAATATGTGCAGTCACACCCACACACGAACGCAGATGTAATCTTTTTTACTAAGGGCATCTCAGTCATTTCCATTTGGCAACTAAAGAACAAGTTTAATAGAAGTTCATGAGAGTCAATACACATTTTATAGCATTCTTTCTGAGGAAGCTGAATGCATAAAGTGCTAAAGAACCAGTAGCAGACACAGAAAAACACAAAACCCAGGGAGATGAGCTGACCATAAATATATATAATGAAGTTTACCTGCCTTGCGTTTAGCAGTCATGTGCTCTGCGTCCTTCTGTATGTATCAGATTGAAAAATGTCACCATCGGTCAAAGTTACCACGTGCTGTCCAGTAGACCCATCTGAGACCGAAGTGACTGAGAAGAGTTGGAAGTGTCACAATGAGCCATGAGACCCCTCGCTGTCAGCTGGATGAACACCGCTGACAGTACTGACCGCGGTCAAAATAGACTTTGGGGCTAAAAAAAAAAAAAAATTAATGGAAGAGACAAAGGGTATTGTTTGAGGATCGAGTTGGGGAACACCACAGTCATAGAACTTTATGTACCAAATAACACACACAGGGGACATGAATTGGCAGTTCACAAAATAAGAAATGCAGCTGATCAAACATGAACACATAGGACAAGCATCCCACCGTGTAAACATATGGAAAAAATTGTTCAGCATGGCTGGTGACCGAAGAAATGCAAACAAAAACAATGAGATACCCTTCCCCATCTGTCAAATTATCGAAAAATGTTTTTAAAGATAATATTTGGACTCAGCATAGGGTGACACGCGGTAAGATGAGAACATAAATTGATCACTGGTAAGAATGTGACACTTTTCCAGATGACTGTTTGGCAAGATGATTCTTTCTCCTATTTTGTCATTGATGTTCAACATATAATCTTGTCCATTTTTATGGGACACAGTACAGTTTCTCAATCTATAAACCCAGAATAACCTGATCCAGTAACATGGCCTCAAACCTTAAACATTTGCCTGTCTTGTCAATGCAAGCAGTTCCATACAATTGGAAAGCACACTTGCTGGATCTGTGGCACAGCAAGTTAAACTACTGCCTGAGACACGTGCAGTCTCTTCTAGAGTGCTGATGGGAGTCTTGGCTGCTCTGCTTCCAATCCAGATTCCTACTAAAGCACGTTGGAAACTGACCCGGGTGCTTGGGACTCTGCATGCAGGTGGGAGACCCTGACAGATTTCCAGGCTTCTGGCTGGCTCTGACCTGGCAGTTGCGGCCATCTGGGGAGTGAATGAGCAGGTGGAAGATCTTTCTGTCTTTCCTTCTCTTTCTGTCTCTCTTCTTTTTGAATAAGTATCTTCTGAAAACAGTATGAAATGCAAAATTTTCATAAGCACATAAAGCATCATGTGGTAAAAGTGTCATTAACCTGTTGTTTAAAGACAGTTGATTAAAAGATCTGCAGAATAATTGTGCAATCAAGCAATATACAGCCATTGAAATGGCAGTGTTAAAAGTCATGACATAAATACTGCTGATATGAAGAAATGTCCACAGTATGTTACGTAGTAAAAAGTAAGCTGGAATATAAGCAAGAATAGCCACAGCGTTTACATAGTCTTCTCACACATACGCATGCTTCTAAGCTTATAAATGTTTATATCACAAAATGTCAACAGGTAAAATTATGTTTATAGGGCTTTCTTTTTTCTGTGCTTTTATTCCCCCTCTTGCAAAATTTTCAGAAATAAGCAAACTATGCTTTTATGGTTAGAAGATAAAGTCATGTTCCAAGTAAACGTGGATGTGGGGAGGTGTATGGCCCGACCCTTGACACGTCCTCTCTGGGAGCAGGCATTTTATCCCAGCAGCTAAGTCACTGGATATGATTCCCGGCTGTGACTCTGATGCCATCTTGCATGGATTCATGGATTCTGACTCTGGAAAGCAGCATTGATTGGTTCCTGCCCCCCATGTGGGAGGTTGAGCCCCTGCTCCTGCCTGTAGCCCAAACAGGATGTCTAAGTGTTGTAAGCATTTAGGGGCATGAACCCACGCATGGGCATGCACTCTCTCTCTCCCACAAATTAAAAAAAAAATTTTTAAATGTATTTAAAAAATGAAAATTTCCTTTTGAAAACCTGGGTAGACCTGCTGGCAGAGCCTGGAGGGGGCAACAGTGTCAGAGTTCTCATTAGCACTACTAAATGTTCACTGGCATGAGAATAAAATTATAAACCCAGAGCTTCGTAAATCACCAACCGTGCATGCATCCATTAAGGAGACAGGACTACATGTTTCAGGTATTCAAAGAGGGTGAAAATACACGGACATGTGGGTGAGAAAGATTTCCAATTTGAATTATAGAAAATGTGGAAATAAAACTGCACAGCACAATAGCAGACATGGAAAATAGCAAGGAAGAAATAAAGTGATAAGCCATCAACATTGAGGGAAGAGCAACAACAGATTAAACACAGTGGACAGAACACAGCAGCCAAGCCCAGCGCCAGGCTGGACGAACCGCCTTTTCCTCACACATCTCCCAGACACACCAGTGAGCTGACACACGCAGCTGCAGGCTACTGCCAAGAATGTGCTGCTCAGCACTTAGGAATGACTCTGGCAGCAAGTAAAAGAAGACTGACAAACAATAGCTTCAACAAGGAGGGGATTGTCTTGCCACTTAGGAAGCCTGAGGCAGGCAGGCAAGCAGGTGCTGAGTTTGGTCCTGAGGCCTGATGATGCCCGTCGGGAACCCAGAGTCTTCACTGTCCTTTCTTCAGCCTTCTGCTCCACCACCATCCTTGGCTTGCTGCCTGCTTCCTCCAATCAGAAGCCTCAGGCGTTGCAGCTATATTTAAGGGAAGAAGGGCCAGAGAGGGACGGCATTTAGCGCAGGTGTTCTTTTTAACAGAAAGCAATTGCTGTCACCAAGAAACAGCTACAGGAGCCTTTTTCTGACCAGAGCTTTTATCACAGACTGCCTGTGGCAGCAAGGGAAAGATGCAACCCCCTGCGGGAAAGAGGATGAAATGAATGACTGCCGAGTAGCTGCAGTGCTCACCATGGGCTTGGGTTTGCTTCAGGGGTGGCCTCAAAACCCCAGTTCTAAAGCACTCCTGGGATCAGCTATGCCTCTGTTCCGTGACACTGGCCAGTGGAAGTAGCATTGTAGATCACATAGGTGATTTAAATTCTTCTAGGAGCCACGTGCCAAATGACAGCTTTAAAAGCAGATGGAGTCCATTCTAATAACACTTTTGAAGTTCAGCATATCCAATATATTATTTTGACATGCATTCAACCTAAAAATAATTGACAGTATGTTTATTATCGTACTAGTGCTCCAAAATCCTAGAGCTCATCTAAATTTACATATATGGATTGGAAAAGGCAGAGGGCGACACAGAGAGATCTTCCATCCACTGGCTCATTCCCCCAAATGCCCCCAACAGCTGGACCTGGTCAATTTGAATCCAGGAGCCCAGGACTCTGTCCAGCAGCGGGTGGCAGGAATTCAACTCCTTGCACCATCATCTTTTGCCTCCTAAGCACGTTAGTGGGAAGTTGGATCAGAAACAGAGGCTGGATTGAATCCCAGGCACTCCATTCTAAGCCCATGCAGTGGCTTAACCTGATGTGTCACAGCACCCGCCCCAGGACCAGCACATTCCATGCGCTGCAGAGTTACTGTGCCAGATGACGTAACTGTCTTCCACATTCCTGGACCTACGCTGAGGAAAGTCCCATTGTTTCACTTCCATAACTGTCACAGCAGGAGAGGGGGACTATGGCAAACCTCCTTGGCTCTTCGGCTGTCACTCAGGGGGCCAGCTATCGATAAGTTCTCACCTACCTCCTGGATCTCTCCCCAAACTCTTTTTTTTTTTTTTAAGATGTATTTATTTATTGGAAAGTCAGATATACAGAGAGGAGGAGAGACAGAGAGGAAGATCTTCCGTCCGCTGGTTCACTCCCCAAGTGAGCGCAACGGCCGATGCTATGCCGATCCGAAGCCAGGATCCAAGAACTTCTTTTGGGTTTCCCACACGGGCGCAGGGTCCCAAAGCCTTGGGATTAGAACCAGCACCCATATGGGATCCCGGCATGTTCAAGGCGAGGACTTTAGCTGCTAGGCCACGCTGCCGGGCCCTCTTTTTTTTTTAACATTTATTTATTTTATTTTTATTGCAAAGTCAGATATATAAACATATATATATGTATACATATATACATGTCCAGCGCTATGGGGTAGCGGGTAGTGCCACCGCCGGCAATACCAGCAAATGATACAGGTGCCGCTTCATATCCCAGCTGCTCCACTTCCCATCCAGCTCCCTGCTTGTGGCCTGGGAAAGTAATGGAACATGGTTCAAGTGCTTCGGCCCCTGAACCCATGTAGGAAACCAGGAGGAAGCTCCTAACTTTTGGTTTCAAACCAGCTCAGCTCCAGCCATTGCGGCCATTTACGGAGTGAACCAACAGATGCAAGTTCTCTCTGCCTCTCTGCAAATCTTTCTTTTTAAATATACAAATTAAAAAAAAATACTAAAAACATTAGACGAGATAAATAGGGGCATTTAATTGTAGTCAAATGTCTAATGAAGTGTATAATAGATTATAAACCTTCATATGTAACCGACAATGCCACCAAATATAAGACGGAAAGTACTTAAGCATAATAAAATAAATCCTCTAAAAATTAACAGCAGATAACGTCAGAATTCATTGGTAGTTTCTGGCTAATGGAATAAGATCAGAAAATGAAATAATTGGTAGAAATGTGGAAAAGATGCAAAATGAGTCTATTTACAGCTGGCTTTGTTTTTTATTTTGCAAGCCCCGAAAACCTACCCAAAAAGGGCTAAACTCATTAAAAGGTCATGACATTATGGTTTTTTTGTTTAT